AAATAGATGTTTTTGGTTTGATCGCTAATATCACTTTGAAATCTACACGCTAGCCTCTCGCTAGAGAAAAAGAGGAGTCAAAACAAGTGACATGCAACAGAGAGTGAAGCACGCATCTCTGTCCCTGAATCGCCCTCCCCCAATTCCTCACTTCTGACAAAGGGGCTAGCCTAGAATTATCTTCAAAGGTATATCATACCTATGATGTCTTTATTGCTTCCACCACAGAGGGTAGCTATGGCTTGAATGTCTTCCTCTTAGTACCGTTCTCCCTACTGGACTGATTTCACCAGTGGTGGCGATTTTCAGGAGTGAAAGACTTCCTCTCTGTTGTCCCACAGCTTCAATGAAAAGGTCCCCGAGGGAGTCCATGTGGATGATGTTGTCAACCTTATGTGGTGTAGGTTGTGCAGTAGGATTTCAGCCTCTCTCTCTGTGATGTTCTGTTCGACTCCCAGTGTGAGATCCTCCTGGAGTGAAAAGCATCACTCATGGCTACCTATGAGCTGTTGATGGATCACTGACCTGTGAGACCAGACTTCCTCCATTCACTTAGTCAAAAACCTGAATACATGAATTTCTCTTGGCGAGGACAGAGCATAACTGGTCGCCAATTTGAGGGCTGGTACAAGATTATCCATAGTTTTGCATCTGTATGTCAACTGGGTCTTCATGGAATGGGATGGACAGCAACCTTGATGATCCTTGTGCTAGCAACTAATCCCAGCTTTGGATCCCCAGATGTTCTTGGACTTCAACTCCCAGAAATCCTGGCCACTATATCTAATGGTGAAGGCTTCTGGGAGTTTTAGTCCACAAACACCTGGGGACCCAAGGTTGGGAAACACTGAACTGATCTATCATCCTCAGTTGGTCAAACGGTAGCTAGGAATGGCACCTGACTCCATAAACCGTAGGCTCTGTGCCGTCCAGAAATCAGCCAGGTTGCTTGGAAGCATTTGTACAAGGCAGATGAGATCCACCTTAACCAAGCGGCACCAGAAAGCTGACGGAAAGCCGTAATGATGCTGGAAGGCCATGATTAGAATTTGGCTCCCAGAGAGATATTGGCCAGCCTTCAAAAGCGCTCAGACATATGGCCCAAAATTAACAGCTGGGATGAAAAACGCAACAGGCTGCAAGAGGAGATAAAAGGTTCAGAAAGATGGCAGAACCTCAAATGCATGAGCCAATGCAGCTATTTGAAAAACAACACCCATATCGACGCATAGCCTAGATGCCAAATACCGTGGAGGACTGGGATTTACATTGAATAAGTGGGTGTTTTCTCTATTAAATCAAAATATCCATCAACACAGATGTGATTAATTGGGAGAAGAGATGGGTAAAGGATGACATGTCAATGGTCTTCAGCTGTCCGGATGTCACACCAATGTCGGAGCTGACACTTCAGGGGAGAGGAACAGAACCAACAGGAAGTTGGCAGGGAAGCAGCTTCTTGTTGATGGTGGTGGTGGGCTTTGCTACCTCAAAGCAGGGATAGGTTGGAAAGCCATGGACCTCTCGCTTGGCCATGTCCTGAGCATCGTAATCCAGAGAGGGCTAGGTTTCCCCTTACTCTGCATGGGAGGCATTGATCAGCAGGCTGCGACCTGCAGTGTTAACATATCACAATGTAATTGAATGTGTCAACATATTTATACGTCACCTTTGTCTTCAGTACTTTGGTGGCTCGTCGTCTCAGTTCATAGATGAAGGCAGAGATACCCTACGGATGGAGCCTGCAGCTATTCCGCACATAGCTGCTTCGGCCAATGATTTGATGGTGGTTGTCCTCCTGATGGTGATGTTGAGCCTTCCTGTAGATAGCATGGTTAGGCCTTGGATGAACAAACCCTCCATGGCCCACCTCCATGGCAGTCATCTGAGCCCTGACAGCCTAGTAGATCATGCTAAACATGGTATTTCACCAGAATAGCCTTGGAGGACCCAGGGTGTCCCGTTAACACTCCAGTGAGGTGGTGAAGCAGAGCTTGGCCAAAGTCACCCTCAAAGAGCACCCTCTGCTCTTTTAAGGCTTGCACAACAAACACAAGACCGTCCTCCAAGAAGTAGGAACGTCACCTAAGGAACTTGCCTCCCTCTACCCAATGGCAGGGCCAGGTTTTTTTTAAAATCTTCCCATACTTTCTTCTAAGGAGGCACCCTGTCACTGCAGAGCCCGCTCGTATCTCCCTAGCTATCCGCTTGATACCTCGCTTCCAGAAGAAATACTACGTTTTCAGCTTTATGCTGAAATTATTTCTGCTATCAGCATTTTGATCCACACGAATTTATCTCTGGGGAAAGACTCCAAGGCAGTAATTATTGCATCTGTGTACCTCTGCACATTCTAGAGAATAAATGTTCACGTTCAGATTGAAAATGGCAGGCACATTTCTCTTGCAGTTTCCATGTTTTATCTTCCCCCAGCTGTATTTCAGGAGGGGGTTTGATCAGCTTTTATTTTCATGGATCTCTACTGTTTTTCTCCACCCCCCCTTCCAAGCCACGTTTTATACATTTCCACATCAGTCACTCTGCCCTTTCCACCTCCTCCTCCAGGCCTCTTATTTGCTGATAAAGTGATTACAAGGTGAATAAAGACACAGAAAAGCAGAGTGTTATATCAGTTTCAGAAAATATAGAGTAGCTTCAGATGCAGAAATATACCAGTCTTTCATTGCCTGACTACTTGATTATAAAGGTCGAGCCTCCTGTGCGTTGGAGTCTTATTTGCAATCTCGCATGCTGCGTGCGGTTTGAGTGACAAGGATGGATTTTTCTGGGCTCATGTGACCATCAGCCTAACCAATCATTCCCTCCCACCTCTGAACTCAAAGAGAGCCCCGCCTCTCTGCTGAGTGTTCCTTCCCTTTCTTTCATCGGTTGGGAGGAGTCTGTTTGCTCACGGTTGAGCTGTGCCCAAGTGTAAATAATGGAATATTTTTACTATTTCTTTATTCTTTCTCCCACAAATGTCTCAGTGTGAGTTATGAAGACTGTAAGTGCCAATTAATGAGAAAGGGGTGGACGGTCTGGGGAACCTGAAACTATTCTCCTTTTCTACTGTACTTCTTTGTTGGTTTTTCATGTCCGACTCTTCGTGACCCCATGGACCAGAGCATGCCAGGCCCTCCTGTCTTCCACTGCCTTCCGGAGTTGAGTCAAATTCATGTTGGTCGCCTCGATGACCCTGTCCAACCATCTCATCCTCTGTCGTCCTCTTCTCCTCTTGCCCTTACTCTTTCCCAACACCAGGATCTTTTCCAGAGAGTCTTCTCTTCTCATGAGATGGCCTTCTACTGTGTAGCAAAAGGAAACATTATCAGAAATTTAAAACTCTGCAACAATGTGTACATTTGTCCCTCATTACTGGCTCTAATTGATTATGTCAATTAGTAAATTTCATGGAGTCAGCACTGCTAAAAGGGTTGTGATTTTTTTTTTTGGACCATCAACCCCATAATTCATCATTCTGGGCATTCTAGCTATAAGACACCTTCCAGGACCTTAACTGTGGCTCGCCTGGGAGAAAAGGCCTCAGTTGGAAGGTGTTGAGGCCTAGCTAGGCCTTGCTCTGCCCAAGCTTCCTGTTCCTCTCCTGGAAGGTGTTGAGGCCTAGCTAGGCCTAGCTCTGCCCAAGCTTCCTGTTCCTCTCCTGATGCTCGTGGAGAGCCTTCAAGGCAGAGCCCGGCCTAAATGTTGGGATTTGCAGTCCAACCACATCTGGAGTCTGAACTTTTGTTGAAGGCTGTAGAGAGAAAAGAAGTAAAGAAAAGACTTTAGAAAAGGCCCCCCTTGCATTCAAAGGGTATATACTGAATGATGACGTGTGGCAATAACCCATACCCTAGGGAGGTTAATATGCAGTGCCATTGATTGTTTCATTAATATGCTAACTATGCACATAAGGCTTAGCGCAAGTCTTGATTGTGTGCTATGAGAATGACCTGTAAATGCAATTTTGCTTGGCCAAGAATGAGCCCTAGCTTAAAGCAAATACTTCAACACACACATGCACAAAAACAGCCTTGGGGGGTGGGTAGGAAGCCGCGTGGCTCAGTTGTGAACACAATGACTAAGGCATTAGATTTGCAAAATACAGCATGAAATGCTTGATTCGTGAATGAGCATCTTGTAGCTCTCTCAGCTAATCAGCTTAAAAAAACAACAGAGGGGAATGTGAGAGCAAGCAAAGCCTGAGGCCAGGCCAAACTCTGGCAGCACCAGTAATACCTATTAGAACAAGTCCCTGGAGTTCCTAAATGCAGAAGATTTCCCCCTGCAGACCCCAACAAGAGAAAGAAAAGTTTCTGGGCACCATTCAAAGTGCTGGTTCTAACTTATACAGCCCTAAACGGCTTGGGTGCAGGCTGTCTCAAGGACCACATCTCTCTCTGTGAGGCTGTGCAGATCTTAAGATCATCACGAGAGGCCTTCTCTTGATCCCACCACCTTCATTGGTGCATCTGATGGGGACCCGGGAGAGGGCCTTCTCTGTGGCTGCTCCCAGACTTTGGAACTCCCTCCCACTGGAGGCCTGACTGGCTCCATTTTTGCTCTCCTCCTGCAAACAAATACCTTTCTCTTCAGGCAAGCTTTATCTTAATGACTGCCTGCCTGAGTGGGTTTTTTTTTAAATGGATGGTGGTGCCTTACTGCTTTGAGTGTGTTTTTGTGCTGCTTTTGCATTTAGTGTGGCATGTGTTTGATGTTTTTAAGTATTCGTATACTTCCAGTGTTTTGCTTTATAGTATTGTCTTTTAATGATACAACCCACCTTGGGTCCTTCTTCAGGAGAGTGATAGGGGCAAACATTTTTTATCCATCCATCCATCTACCCTCCCACCCTCCCATCCATCCATCCATCCATCCATCCATCCATCCATCCATCCATCCATCCATCCATCCATCCATCCATCCATCCATCCATCCATCCATCCATCCATCCATCCATCCACCCACCCATCCATCCGGGAAGGGGAGGGGGGACTCACCTGGGGAACGGCCAAGCCAAGGGCCACCCCACCCAGCAGGAAGAGGTTGCTGTGGATCCAGTTCACCAGCTTGTCGATGCAGCCGTGGGTGTAGACGAACTCGCTGGCTTCCAGGTAGCCGAGCGCCTGCATCCCCCGGCCACACAGAGTGTTGATGACCGACTGTCCGGA